ATGGCTGCACAACTCTATGAATTGCTCTAAAAAAAAAAAAAAAAAAATCACTGAATTACACACTTGAGATTCACCACTGTGTACATTATACCTCAGTGAATCTATGGCAACAAGACAAAGCCCCAAAGTGCAACTGTTGGCCTAGGTGACAGCCAAAAGGGGACCAAAAAAAAAAAAAAAAAAAATCTCCACTAAAAATAAATAAATCTTTTACTTAGATTTCTTTAGTAATAATAAACTGTGCCTTGATGGTCAGGAGCACGAGGACCTCGAACGGTGAAATCCAAGAACGTCTCCGGTTTCATCTCTCTCCTCAACAAGGCCCCTCTGTCTTCAGGTTTCTTTGTCAAAGGTCTTTCTTTCCCACCTGTCCCCCTCCACAGACCAGGTTAAAAAAACAAAACAAAAAAAAACAGTTACTGTCCAGTGGGCTCCGACTCCCAGTGACCCCATGTGTCAGAGCAGAACTGTGCTCCACGGGGTTTTCAAGGGCTGTTTTGTCAGAAGTCAATTGCCAGGGCTTTCTTCTGAGGCACTTCTGCATAGACTTGAACCGCCAGCCTTGCAGTCAGTGGCCAAGTGCTTAACCATGTGACCCACCCACAGCCTCCCAACAAAAGTTACTGAAGGCCTTTTCTGGGCCCTTTTTCTTTATGTATGATCTCTCCTCCTTCCATAACACATGCTTGAGCAGGTGTTCTTATGCCCCTTGGATGGAAGAAGGGTTGAGGCTCAGAAAGGCAAGGTCATTCACTCAAGGTCATTTAGTGGCAAAAAGGAAAAAAAACATCACTATTAACTTGAGGTGGCAGTCATGGTTTAGTGGTAGAATTCTCACCTTCCACGCAAGAGACCCGGGTTCAATTCCTGCCAGTGCCTCAGAGCTCCCAGCTGCGAACCCCTGCCCTTTCATTCACCCACCTGTTAAACAATCCCACTATGAGGGTCAGACCAGAGCACACATGCCGCAACTCAGCGCAGGGCCTGGGACGCAGTGGGTGGTTAACAAATGTCGCTCCCTCCCCTTCCTCTGTCCTCGACAGGACCGGAGCAGGCGTGGCCTGGCTAGCGAGCAGCCGGTGAGGGGTTCTCGGCAAAATCCATCCGCCATCCCCCAAAGTAAAACCCTGCACCTGACCCCACCCCCCACTACCGCTATTTGTTAATAAAGCAGTAAAGAAACCCCAGAGTCAGTGAGGGGAATGGGGTAAGTGTCGCCTTGGTGATAAGTGGTGGTCCGTGATAAGAAGCTGGCCGGAGAAACGCACATCTTTGCAACACTAGAGCGAACTCTGGCAACATGTTGTGAAAGTCTTGCGCAAACCTCAGCAGAAACACCCGGCCCGGCCGCTGGGAGTCATCGCCGGTGTTGCTGTAATGTGATGATGACTCTAATCCCTCCAGAGGGTGCAGAACTTGTCTTGAAAACTCAGCTGTATTTGACATGACGTGTTTTCTGCAGGATTCCTGAACGGTTGCTCTTAGGGGCTGGGCCAAGGAAGTGCACACAATAGCTATTTGGGCTGAAACAGCCCTAGGCCACTGGCTGGTTAGGGGAGTGCAGGACTGGATCTAAGGAAAAGGAACTGCCATTTTCTTGATGGGGTAGTGGTGGTTCGGGAGTATAATTCTCACCTTCCCTACAGGAGACCCTGGTTCCATTCCTGGCCATGGCACCTCATGTCCAGCCCCCACCCATCTGCCAGGATGCTTCCGTGTTGCCAGGATACTGAACAGGTCTCTACAGAACTTCCAGACTAAGACAGACTAGGAGGAAAGGCCTGGTGATCAGCTTCCAAAAAAATAGCCAATGAAAATCTTACAGATCACAAGAGTCTGATCTGCAACTGATCATGAGGCTGGCACAGGACCGGGTAGCGTTTCGTTCCATTGTGCATGGGGTCACCATGAGTTGGGGGGCCAACAGGACAGCAGCTACCCACAGCTATGTTTATGTATATGCATGGAGTCTCTGAGTGGGGTAGATAGTTAACCTGCCGGGCTGCTAACCAAAAGCTTAGCAGTTTCAGGTCTACCCAGAGGTACCTTGGAAGAAAGGCCTGGCGACCTATCTCTGGAAATCAGCCAACAAAAGCCCTAGGGAGCACAACAGTCCGATCCACACCGGATCATGGGAACGACGTGGGATTGGGCGGCATTTTGTTCCGTTGAGCATGAGGTCCCTGTGGATTGTGGCCAATTCACTGGGAGCTAGCAACAAGTGTTTGACAAATGAAGAAGTGAGCCCAGGGAGGAAAAACACTTGCTCAAAGTCTCACAGAGGGGGATAAGTGGCCATGGCCAGCCCTGTGGTGGCCTTCTGGGAGCCTGGCCTTGGTGGGAGGGTAGAGGGGACTCTCACCTCCTCTGGTGCTTGCACGTGGCACTTTGGCCCCTCTGGGTCCCCACTGCCAGCAAACAGGGCTTACCAATGAGTGCTGAATAATACACAGGTGGCTCGTGGTGGAGGTGGAGCCCTTCTGAGACTGCTTGCAGACAGGAGGGTCTAGGGTGGTCCGTGGGGCCTCAGTGTTGTGCTATCTCCACTGCTGTGGTGTGCAGCTGGTGTCCAGGGCAATGCCCCCCTGACTCCAGAGAAGGCAAAATGGCCAAGGAAGGCAAAGGAGGCCTGGGGAAACCCACCCCACACACACATCTTTGGCTGTGCCCTGGCCTCATCTCATTCGCTGAGGACCCCAGCCTGGACCCATCATTGTGCCCCCGCCCTGGACCGTGTGGAGGCTCAGAGTCATATGTAGAAGCGGCTGAGAGTCCAAGCTTTCCGGTCAAATGACATCAGCTTGCTGGAACTGCCTCTATATCCTCACCAGGAGTGTGGGGCAGAGGCGGACTGCAGCCAGAACACCTGCAACCCAGAGCAGTGGTGCCTGGAGTCCAGAGACCAAGTCCCAGCTCCAGGTTACCACCTTGAGATTTTCTCCTTCTGATACCCAAGTGGCTCTGCCTTACTTCCTCCAGGTCTCAACTCAAATATCACCTCCTCCGTGAGGCTTTGGAGCCGAAATTTCACCAACTCCTCCCCTCCACTTCCTATCCCCCTCCCTTCTTTATTCTGGACTGTATCCCAACACAGGTCCTTGGGTGGTGCAAACGGTTTGCACTAGAGCACTAACCGAAAGGTTGGCAGTTTGAACCCACTCAGCAGTGCCACGGAAGAAAGGCCTGGCAATCTGCTTCCATGAAGTTTCCCAAACCAAAAAAACTCTGTGGCTGCTAAGTGGATTCTGGCTTATGGCAATCCCATGTGTTCCAGAGTAGAGCTGCTCCATGGGGTTTTCTTGGCAGAAGCCGATTGTCAGAACTTTCTCCACAGCATTGCTGGGCAGATTGAAATAGCCAGCCCTTAGGTTAGTCGTCGCGCACAAACCATTCATACCACCCAGGGACCCAAGGAAGCCCCATGGAACGCAATTCTACTCTGTAATCCATGGGGTCGCCATGAGTCCTATCCCAAAACACAATATGTGTGCATTATCTTGTTTATTCTGTCTTCTGTCCTTTTTCTGTCCGTCCTTCCCCACTCCTCTCCCAGAGTGGAAGCCTCTGAGGGTAGGCATTTGGCTGCTGTGTCCCTGTGTCTAGACAGTGCCACACACAATCACAGCGGGAGAGTGACAGGCACTGGTGCAGAGGCTGAGGTGAGGAGGGAAGGAGGTATGCATGAGGCTCTCAGAGCGGTCCCCTGGTGTTGGGAGGAATAGTTGTCACCTGTCCTCTGAGTCTATACATCACCCAAGGCAGTAAGATCCTGGGTTGAACCTTGAGCTCCTCCCAGCCCCTTGGGCCTCAGTTTCTCTGATCAGAAGGGATGATTTGGGGAAGGGGTGGTCTCTAAGACCAAATGTTTCTAGTTGATGTCAAGTAGGCTTTGTACAGGGTGCTGGGCATTGGTGTAAGAAGGCTGGCCAGTGATCCCTTTTTCAGAGACTGGGAGCTCTCTCCCCCCTCTCAAAGATGCCCCAAGGTCTGGGTCCCCCTCAGAAGAGGAGGCCCAGTCCCTCCACATTAGGGGTCTTGAACACCGTGGTGGGCCATCTTCCCAACCATCAGGAATCCTAGAGACCTCTTCACAGTGGAATCCATCTCCTCATCCCTCAGGGGTCCCAAGGACACCCCTCTCTTTGGAAGTCAGAGATGGCGGGTTCCACTCTCCCAATGGAGCTCTGGTAGCATAGTGGCTAAAGCACTTGACTGCTAACCAGAAGGCTGGCGGTTCAAACCCACCAGCCACTCCTCGGAAGGAAGGTTGGGCAATCCTACTTCCGTAGTGATACTGCCTCGGAAACCCAAGGAGGGGTCGCTATGAGTCGGGGCCGACTCGACGGCACATAACAACAACAACAACTCTCCCAATACACCAGGGACCCAGGAAACCACTCCAGAGCCATGGGCTTCATCTCCTCAATCATAAGAGGTCCTGGGGAGCTGGGCATCTCCCCACCATCAGGTGTCCTAAGAAGAAACAACCCTCCTCTTCGAGGTCGCAGCATCCAGTCTCCCAAGCCAGCGGGGGTCTGGGGAGGCCGCCGGACCCATGTGGCCATCAGTGGCCAGGGTCCCCTCCTGTGCCTCCGCGGCCTCACACATGCAGGAGCGGGGGATCCCTGGACATCCCACCGCTGTTGTCTGCGCGTGTTGACGCCGTCGCCCAGGAGACAGGCAGGGGCGGGCGGGGCAGGGGGCGCGGCCTGGCTGCGCTAGAGATGCCTGGCCCGCAGAGCACATAGCCCAGGCGGCCGCAGCGGCCCTGCCGCCGCCGCCCGCCGGCTTATATACTGCGGCTAAATTTAGGCTGCGCCCCGAGCTCGTCCCCATCCGGGACGCGTTTCCGCCGCCGCCGCCGTGGCCCGGCCCCCGCGCGCGCGCGCCTATAAGGCTGGGCGGGCCCGCGGCGGCCGCAGAGCTGTCCCGCCCGCGCCCCGACCCACCGGCCCGGCCGCCGCTCACCTCTCCCGGTCCGCTCCCGCGCTGCCCGGGCCATGGCGCTGAGCGAGCCAATTCTGCCGTCCTTTGCCACGTTCGCTAGCCCGTGCCGCGAGCGCTGCCTTCAGGAGGTGAGGGCGCGGCCGGAGCGGCCCGGGTGGCGGGCATGGGCAGTCGAACGCGGGCGGCGGGGACCAGGGCCGGCGGGCGCAGGGAGCAACGGAAGGTGGGGGGGGGGCAGAGATGGCGCGCGAGTGGGGAGGCAGAGAAGGCAGGGGGCACGGGGTACAGCAGGGTCAGTGGGCACAGAAGGCAATCGGGCAGTAGAATGCGGGCAGCCGGGACAGCAGGCGCGGGAGGCAGCAAAGCAATTGAACTCAGGCGGAGGGGGCAGCAGGAAAATCCGGACGGGAGGCAGCAGGGCAGTAGAACAGCGTAGGGACAGCGGGCACAGGGAGTCGCAGGGAAGGTAGGGACTACGGGGACAAGGGACAGCGGGCGCGGGAGACAGCAGGGAAGGCAGTGACCGCGGGAGCCGGGTACATAGAGCTTGGAGGTGGTAGGGCACTAGAACGCAGGCGGCGGCGGCAGGAAAATAAGAGCGGGGGCGGGGAGGCAAGAACAGCTGGCTCAGGAAGCATCTTACGTGAGGCAGCGGGGTAGGTGGGCTTGGGGCGGTCTAGAAGTAGAACACAGGCGGCGGGGACGGCAGGGACATCAGGACAGCTGGCGGCGAGGAAGGCAGGGATCGCGGGATGGGAGTGGAGGGACGGGGAACAGCAGGCACGGCGGGCGCGAGGGGCGACAGCAGTGGCGACCAGGGGTCAGCCGCGCGCTCATGCCCGCGCTTGTCGCCTGCAGCGATGGCCGCGCGCCGAACCCGAAACGGGTGGCGCCGACGACGACCTCAACAGCGTGCTGGACTTTATCCTATCCATGGGTTTGGACGGTCTGGGTGCGGAGGCCGCCCCGGAGCCGCCGCCGCCGCCGCCTGCCTTCTACTACTCGGAGCCCGGCGCGCCGCCACCCTACGGCGCCCCCGCGGGCGGCCTGGTGTCTGAGCTACTGAGGCCGGAGCTTGACGCACCGCCGCCGCCCGGACCACAGCCAGGGCCCTCTCTGCACGGCCGATTCCTGCTGGCGCCACCCTGCCGCCCGGTCAAGGCAGAGCCGCCGGAGGCCGACGGCGGCGCCTACAGCTGCGCGCCCGGCTTGGCCCGCGGGCAGCGCTGCCTTAAGCGCGAGGGCGGTCCGGGCACCGCCTGCATGCGGGGCCCAGCTGGCCGCCCGCCGCCCTGCGACACGCCGCCGCTCAGCCCCGACGGCCCCGCGCGCCTGCCCGCGCCTGGTCCGCGTGCCACCTTCCCGCCAACCTTCGGGGGTCCAGGCTTCGGCGCTGCGCCCTCGCCCGGCCTGCACTTCGCGCCGCCCGCAGCCGCCGCCTATGGTCTCTTTGAGGATGCGGCCGCCGCTGCCGCCGCACTGGGCCTTGCGCCTCCCGCCGCCCGCGGCTTGCTCACACCGCCCGCCTCCCCGCTGGAGTTGTTGGAGGCGAAGCCCAAGCGCGGCCGCCGCTCCTGGCCCCGCAAGCGCACGGCTACGCACACCTGCAGCTACGCTGGCTGCGGCAAGACCTACACCAAGAGCTCGCACCTCAAGGCGCACCTGCGCACGCACACAGGTGGGGCGCGCTGGGGACCCTCCTGGGGGCGTGGTTTAAGAGGTGGGGTAGGACCAGGTGGGGACCCCATTGGGGGACAAGACTGAGGACTGCCTGGGAGTGTGTGGCTCAGGAGGTGGGGGAGGGGCTGGTTGAGAAGCCCCTGGAGACGTGGCTCAGGAGGTGAGAGTAGGGATGTTCTGGGGACCCCCCTGGGTGTAACTCAGAAGGTGTGGTAGACCCAGGCACGCTGGGGACCCCTGGGGATGAGACTGTGGACCGACCCCCCAGGGAGTATGACTCAGGAGGTGGGGGTAGGGATGTGCGTTTAGGACCTCTGGGGACCAGGCTGAGAACCCCCCTGGGGGCGTGGCTCAGAACTTTAGGGAGAGACCTTTCGCTTAGGATTCTCTAGGGGCGAAGTCAGGAGGTTGGGAGTGGGAGCACTTGCCTAGGGAGCCCTAGGTGCTCAAAATATTTCATAGGCATGCTTCCTGGCACTGGGAAGGGGTTTTTTTGTGTGCCAGTCTGGTCACTATCCGGGTGTGGGGCGAACTCCGGTACAGGACTAGACAACTAAGTCCAGGTAGAAAAACTGAGGCACACCCTGTCCTCTCCCTGCAGGTGAGAAACCCTACCACTGCAACTGGGATTCCTGCGGCTGGAAGTTCGCGCGCTCTGATGAGCTCACGCGGCACTACCGCAAACACACGGGCCACCGGCCCTTCCAGTGCCACCTGTGCGACCGCGCCTTCTCGCGCTCCGACCACCTGGCGCTGCACATGAAGAGACACATGTAGCCAGGACGCCTTCCACCCTCCGCGCCGGCAGTGGCAGGTCCCACGCGCCGGCGTGCCCCCCTCTTGACTGTGACTGGTAATTTATTAGGGCCAGAGAACTGGGCCAGGCACAGCGTGGCCACCGAGGGACTCCCCAGGTCTGCCGACCAGGCCCCCAGCCCCCACTGAAGGCCCGGTGGGAGAAGATGCTCACATCCTCCTTGACAAGTTTTGTTTTCAAAATGGTGCAATAATTTAAGTGTAGTCTTCCCCGCTCCGGGTCTACACTAGAGGCTCGAGGCTCGACGCTCTACGCCTTGTGAGAAATACAGCCTTAATGTGTACTGTCTGCGACGTTTTTATATAATATTGTACATAGCGACTCTGACAGATTTGGTATTAATGTAAATAGGAAGACAGTGGGCATTTTGAACGCCTGTTTTGTTTTTATAAGAAAAAGATTTTTTTTTGCTGTTTTTTAATAAAAAAGAAAAAAAGAAGTTTTGCATCTTTCCGAAAATCACAGTGCTAGTCTGCCTGCTTGAGGACTGGGGACAGCTTTCATGGAGGGCTGCCTGGCAGAAGTGAGTGGCATGGGTCTGTGCAGGGACCTGTGGGTTTCCCTATAAATTTAAACACTGCATTTTAAGACTGAGGGAAGGTTATTTTAAGGTTGTTCCCTGGGCCATAAATTGCCTCCTTTTCCCCAGGGCTGGGGAAAAAGCCAGTCCGACTGACGTGGCAGCCTCCTCAGGGCTGAAAAAAGCTAGCTTTTGGAAACTTTTGAGGTTTTAGCCAAACTTCTGGGGTGTGCAGGCACAGATAGGGGTCTCCAATCCTCCTAGGGAGCTTAAATTCCTGGGTTACGTTTGGACTGTCTGCTGTGTTCTGTTTTCTACTAATCTTGTTACTAACTAAAGGTTGGCAGCTGAGACCCTCCCAGAGGCACCAGGGAGAAGGGCCTTGTCATCTTTTACCACAAGTCCACAGCCATGCAAGCCCCGTGGAGCACGGTGCTACTCTGTGCAACTCCTGGTGCTGCTGTGGTTTGGAATCAGCTTCAGGGTAACAACAGCGTTTTACCTTTTACTAGCATTTAATAATAATAATAATAAGCTCCTCATCCTATTAGAAAAATAAGAAACCCACATTTGAAAGCTAGGCATGGTGCCTTTTCTAAATGAGAAAACTAAGGCCCAGTGAGGTAGCTATGGTATCGTGGAGTTAGGGGCCAGCCTAGCTCTGTCTGTCTCCCCAAATTCTCCCAATCCCACTAGCAGGAATGACTCTCTGTTCCTTGGGGCTCCCCCCAGCCCCCTGCAGATGACATTGTCTGAATGGATCACAGTGATGGCAGAGCCCCTGGAAGACCCCTGCACCCCTAGCCCAAGCATCTTCTCTGGCCAGTCCCCCTGCCACCCTTTCTCAGAGCCCTCTGGGTTGCCATGGCCACCAATCATTGCACAAGTTTCCAGAAAGTGAAAACAGCTCGTTGAAGCAGCGCCTGTTTTTAAAACACTCTCGCCCCCATTTCAACAGAGGCTGGGATTTCCCCCATCCTCCCTCCCCCTGGAAACAGCTGAGGGCGTTGGGTAATCCACGAAAAGCAGAAATGGAGCTGACAATCTGATTCATCTTTCTTGGGTAAATAGCTGGGCCCACTTCCGCGGGCTGGAGGACGTGTGTGTGTGTGTGTGTGTGTGTGTGTGTGTGTGTGAGCTGCTGTGCCCTCTGGTGCAGCTTCTGCAAAAAAACGGTCCCAGAACATGGCAGTGGCCCCAGGCCCTGGACATGCACCTCCTGGCTCAGATCTGGGCTTTGAGAAGCTGGAAGAGAAGAAAGCCTGAAAGGGAACTTTTTTTCAAAGGGTCTCCAGGTTTTCTAATGAGTTTAAACTTAGAGTTCAAGCTATTTTTCTTGCTTGTTCAAAAACATTGCCCAAGGTTCCCCTTGCCTCACCCGAGTTGAGCGAGAGAGAGGCCAGCTGAAACAGGACTGAAGCTGTTAAGTTTCTGTTTCTTTGAATGCTTCCAATGTGTAGAATAGAAAGTGTCACCCTCTCAACCAGTTGTGTTTGAGCAGGAGACAGTGGGTCAGGCAAAGGGGTGGCCCCTTTCTGAATCCCAGAGTCCCTTTGTGGTGCAAACAGTGAACGTGCTCAGCTGCTAACGGAAAGGTTGGGGGTTCGAATCTACCCAGAGGCGCCTCCAAGGAAAGGTCTGGCAATCTACTTCTGGAAGACCCTATGGAGTAGTTCTGCTCTGATGCACATGGGGTTGCCATGAACTGGGGCGGACTCTACAACAACTGGTTTGGTTTGGGGTTTTTTTTTTCTGAATCCTGAGTTTCAACTTCCATTAAACATCTGCTGAGTTGGTGGTTCAACTAGGGGCCACTTGGTCTTCCACAAGGGGTATTTGTTAATGTCTGGAGACTTTTGTGATTGTTATACACAAACGGGGGTCATACTGACATTGAGAGGGTAGAGCCAGGGCTGCTACTCAACACCCCACAGTGCACAGGCCAGTCCCCAGCACAGAGAACAGTCCCCAGATGTCAGCAGCGCTGGGGGAGAGAGATCCCGTACCGAGTACTTGGAAAAAAAAACTTGAGTTCGATCTCTGCTAACAGCACACATCAGAATAACTCCGAAGGGCAAAGGGGTTAGAGGGCACTGACCAGGGTGACCCTCCAGCTCTGTGATTGCCCTCCTCTCCCCCTCCCCCTCAGTGTGTAGATTTGACTGTGTGCAGTACCCTAGGCTGTCAGTAGGTCAGAGGATCATGAAACACATTCTCAGGGGTCAGTGGAATCCCCTAACCCAGAGGTTCTCACCTGGGAATGATTCTTCCTCCCAGGGGACATTTGACATTGTTTCTGGGGACATTTTGGGGTTGTCATACTTGGGGAGGGTGCTACTGGCATCTGGCAAGTGAAGAACAGGGATGCTACTCGACACTCTACAGTGCACAGCAAAGAATGTTCCAGAACCAAATGTGAATGAGGCAGATCTTGAAAACCACCCTGGATCCTAAAAGGCCAGCTCTGCTTTTGTTAATGAGGAGGAAGCCCTGTCCCAGGAAGCAAGCTTGGCTGGCAAATGTAACCCAGAGGCAAGTGTTTAAATAAAACCTCGCAGCCACACTCACCCTCAGAATCCATGTGAGAACACCGGGCACCTAAATCCATTCTCGCCCCATTCAAGAAGTCCTGGTGTTAGAGAAAATGCTAAACATCAAACATGAAATAGGAAACTTTCCCCAGCACACACCACCACCATGTTCCAAGCCAGCCCCAACCAGAGGTTTTTGGAGGATGGAACCTAGTCAGTGGCTGGATTGCTATCAGTTGGCTGTGATGACCTTTGCATCCTTTTTCCCTCAAAATGACACGCCTTTTCCATAAAAGTGTTTACTGGGGACAGTGGTCTTCCAGTGCTAGAATTGCTTTCCGTGAGGGAGAGCCAGGTTTAGTTCCCAGCCAGGGTACCTCATGCACAGCTCCCACCCATCTGTCAGTGGAGCCTTGCACGTTGCTAGGATGCTGACCAGGTTTCAGTGGCGCTTTGAGACTGAGACCAGGAAGAAAGGCCTGGTGACTGATTTGTGAAAACGCTGTGGAGCACAATCATCTGATCTGAAATGGATCACAAAGACGACACGGGGCAGTTGTGTGTGAGGCCACCATACATTGAGGGCTGACTCGATGGCAGCTGACAACAAGCATTTGTGTTATCATTTTTACTGAGTGTATAATACTCCGTTTGGCCATACAAGGAGTTGTCTATGTGGTCCTCTGCTACCTAACATTTGGGTTCTTTCTGACTTCTTCTTACCATGATCACACAGGCACTGTGCATATATATATATATATATATTTGGCCATATTTCAGATTGTCCCTCTGGAACTCCCAGCAATGCACAGAGATTTGGGGTGGGGGTGAGGGTCTTCTGACCTGGGAGGGACCCCTAGTGATAGAACCCTTTTCTGCCAGCTGCTCCCTGTATCTTAGGGGGTCCCCAGGCACCCAGGCTGCAGACGTTTGTGTGGGGGAAGGGGCGTTGTCAGAGAGTAAGGTGGGACCTGCCGATCCCTGACTCAGCACCTGTACTGTCAGCTCAGCTGACACAGCACCGAGGCACCACCGAGGAGCCTGGAGGCAACGGGGAGCGCAGCTCGAGAGGTGCCAGCCCTCGGTGGCTCCCAGGCCCCCGGCGTCCATGCTGCAACACTTACTTCTGGAACAGTCTCTGGGCGGGAGCCATGCTGCACGGTAGGGCGTTGAGTGGCATCCCTAGCCTCCACCTACTTGTAGCGGCCCTCCTCCTTTGTGATAACCACAGACGTCCCTAGACATTGACAGTGCTCCCGGGGGCAAAGCTGCTTGAGGTGAGAACCGCTGTTTAGCAAAGCCACTTCTTTCCCATGGGAGCCCTCAGATCTGCTGGGCAGCACTCCCTGCCTCCGTTTTCTCATGTGGAAAGTGGGGACAGTGCAGCAAGGGTAGAAAGAGATCAGCATGCAGCCCTGGGGCGGGCCGGTAGGGCGTCTGCCCCAATCGGAGTGGCTGCCAACTCCAGGGCGCTCGCCCTGTCTCTTCCTCTCCTCTCCCTGTTTCTCCTTCTCCTTCCCTCCCTCTCCTCCCTCCTGCTCCTCCCTCTCTGAGCTGCCCCCTGTCTTTCTGTCTCTCTTCACCTCTCCTCTGCCTTCCTGCCTCTCACTAGCTGGATCTCGCCCCTTCCCCTTATACCTCTCTCCCCTTCTCTGTCTCTCCTCTGTCTCCTTCCTTCTCCCCTCATCCATTCATTCCAGATGCCCTGGCTCACTCTCTCTCCCCATCCCCCATATCCCCTCCATTCACTCGTTCATTCAGCAGAAACTGCACGCGCCTGATCTCTCTCCCCCTCCCTGTCTCTGTCTCTCTCCCCACCCCATGCATTCATTCTGCAGACGCCCCAGGTGCCCCCCTCCTCTCTGTCCGCCCCCACACACACCCTTTCATTCCGCAGACACTCCAGGTG